CTCGGGAGGCCGTGTGCGCCCGCGGAGCGCGGTCCGGGGCTCCGAGGCCGAGATGCCCGTGTTGGCGACACAGCCGCACTGCTGCCGGCCGCCTCTTTGGAATAAGCCCCAAACCGCCCCTCTCGGCCAACTGTGCGCCTTCCTTGTCTGGGGACGGACCCCCGTCCACTTTGCTGACCCCTCCCTTTCCCCCAGTCTCTGCAGCCCAGTCTGGAGGCCGGGCTGCACCTGGTCTTCTAGAGGGGTACGTGTTGTCTCTCTCAGGTTTGGGCTGCTCCCAGCCCCAGATGCTCACCACCTCTCTCCGGCCCAGCCAGGAGCACTCTGCTTCTCTTTGTGCAACTGAAGCTCTTAGTCAGGTGGGCCACAGCTCAGCCTCGCTGTTAGCGTCTGGTCAAAGAAAACCTTTCTCACAGGGAGCTGCGTTAACCAGGCCTCCTCCATGTTTGCCTTATGAAATTGGCTCTTGGAACCCAAGAGTTGGCCTTCATAGTCCTCATCAACATCACCTCGTTAACTTTTTAACCTACAAAGAGCCTATTGAATCCTGGTTCTGTCATCCAACAGAGCGGGTATTTCTTCCTGAGTTTGTCTCATCCACACAGGCGCCCACAGCCTTTCTGAGACGTGTGCTCTGTGGCCTGCCCAGACTGAGAGATGTGAATCAACACCTTTGGGTAGGGTGATGGTACCCAGGACTCTGGAAAGGCAGCTCTGAAACCCCCATCTGGGCCCTGCCCTCTCAGCCACAGTGGCTTGTGGATCTGGTGGGGTAGACACCTGACGCCACCAGGCTGATTGTGCTTTCTCCCAGGCTGAGGGAATCCAGCTCAAGGTATGGGTTGTACGAGTTTCCCAGGGCTACTGTAACAGCCACAAACTCGGTGACTTAAAACAATAGAAATTCAGAATCAAGGTATGAGCAGGGCCATGTTTCCTCCCATGGCTCTAGAGAGGAGTCCTCCCTTGCCTCTTCCAACCTCTGGTGGTTCTTGGCATCCTTGGCCTTCTTTGGCCAGGAATTCTTTGTAGCTTATCTTTCTAATCTCTGCTTTTGTCTTCACATGGCCTTCTCTCTTGACCCTTAGCATGGCATTTTTCTCTGTGAGTCTGTGTCCTCTCCTCTTCTTATAAGGACAACAGTCATTAGATTTAGGGTCCAACATAACCTCATCTTAAGTAATTACATCTGCAGGCATCCTGCAAAGATCACATTCTGAGGTACCCTGTGGACATGAATTTTGGGCGGAGCACTATTCAATTCATTACAGGGCCCTTGGGGAGTAATGAGAGGACAGACCATGGCATCTACGGCTGTGTTCTGTGGGGGTTATGGGGAATGAAAAGGGTGATCAGGGGAGAAAGGGTCAGAGGCGGGGGCTGTAGTGCTCTGGGAACCAAGTATGGTGAATAGCCATTTGGTGACAGGCTTTCACCCTCCCCATAAATCCATCACATGTGCCATTGTAGAAGGAGGGACCCCCAAAAAACTAGAATTTATTTATTTATTAAAAATTGTGTATTTATTCCTGTGTGTTTAAACCTCAGTTACCTTCAAAGTGCTCTCTGTTTGATGCAATACACCCATCTAGATGCTTTCTTCGCTGCTCAAAACAGGTTTTGAACTCATCCATTTTGATGCCTTTTAGTGTGCTTCCGCCATTTTTTGTTTCACCTCTTCCACATCAGCAAAATGTTTCCTCTGAAGATTTTTTTTCATCTGGGGAAACATACAAAAGTCACTCCGAGTGAGATAGGGTGAATAGGGAGGGTAGGGCATGGTATTCATGTTGTTTTGGGTCAAAAACTGCTAAACATTCAGCATGGTATGGAGAGGTTGTTCATGTAAATCACCCATCACGAAATGGGCAAACACATTGAAAGAATCTCTCCCCCAAAATTCACTGAAGTGGAATGCAACTCTCACAATGCTAGCAGATACACTGATGCCAGTGGGTTCTTAGGATACTTACTTAGTGGGAGAAACTTATACAACAAGGGGCCTGCACTCTAAAGAAATAATTCTGGGCTTTTAAAAGTCCTCCCTTGTATTTTTCAACCTTCAACAGAAATGTTATGAGCCATTTTGCTGGGGGTAAGATACACAGTATCCATCACACGCTCAAGATACACATCACACGCTCAAGATACACAGTATCCATCACATGCTCTTGATTTTATAACCTCTGACTTCTTGCTTTTTAGAAAGTGAGAGGTTGGCTGGTGTAGTGGCTCATACCTGTAATCCCAGTATGTTGGGAGGCTGAGGCAGGAGGATCGCTTGAGGCCAGGAGGTCAAAACCAGCCTGGGCAATGTAGCCTGTCTCTACCAAAAAAAAAAAAAGAACTGGGCATGGTGGTACATATATTCCTAGCTACTCAGGAGGCTGAGGTAGAAGGATTGCTTGACCCTAGGAGTTTGAGGCTTTAGTGAGCTATGAGCACACTACTGCACTTCTGAGTGACAGGATTCAAGAGCCTGTCTCCAAAAATAAAATAAAATAAAAAATTTTTAAAAGAAAGTGAGAGGCATCTGAGGAGGAAATAAACAGCACCCAGTTCCCTGCCCTAGGCTGGACTCTGCCCAGCAGCTCTGAGAGAAGACTCCCTCTCCCTAGGAGCTGTGATCTTTTTCCAAGGGGTTCCACCCATTCCTCTCACTCCCTTCCCTAGCCCCAGATGTGGGGCCCACAACTCATAGGGAGGAGGCTGGACCCCGTTGAACTTGGAAATATCCACATAACAAGGGGCTGAAAAGACAGCTGGACCTACTTCTCCCTTTCCCAGGTGGCTGACATCAAACACCATGCTCCCCCCTTTAATTGGAACTGTTTCAGGAGCCATGGCCTGGGCGCCATCCTAGTGTGGGCGGAGGACATCAGTAAAGAGACATATTCAGGGTCTTGGCCAGATCCAGCCAGAGCCGGGGTCTCCCCAGTAGACCATGAGGCCACTTTGCATTTACCAGACAGGAAACCTAGGGAGGCCAGAAACAGAGGAGGAAGGCAGACAGTCAGGCTCCCCTGACTCAGACTGGAGTTTCTACACCTGGATGGAAACAGACTGAGGGGCCTGCACACAGGTTGGTTTCTGTTCACAGGGAGATGCTAGGCCACATCCACATCTACCCAACTCATCTCCCATACCTCTATCACACAGAATGGGGGAGGAGGAGGGAGAGGGTGAGGGAGGGGGAAGGA